CCCCCCCCCCGTAGTTTTACGTGATATTTTACGCTGCTCCGTATCCATTCCACTTCATCTTCTTCAGCGCCACCAACGTTTCCCCGAGTGCTGGCGGGATCACGACGGTGACATCGCCAGGGGAGGAAACTGAGTACTCCCATCTCAATGACGTCACGAACCAGCGGAACGCCGAGAACGTCTACGACGGCTAGTGACGTCATGCCGAACGACGTTCGCCGGCGTCGGCGTCAGAGCCCGAACGCGTCATCTTTAAGCCAGACAGAGGAGAGATGGGGATTGTTGTGTGCGTGTGTGTTAAACAAGATGAAGATGATTGGAGCTTTCAGACTGAACACTACAGAACTAACACAGAGATGTTTCTGCAGCATACTCCATGCAAGTGATCAGTTCCACGTTGGCATTATTATTATTTTTTGTTTTGTTTCGTTACTATTTTAACAATTTTATTTAAATTGCACGCTTGATATACGTTTTTATTTCCCTTAGGGGTTGTCCATGAAGGACGTTCGCAGAGACCGCAGGGGTTTGGGGGTCGTTCAACGGCGGACAAATGCGGACATTTGTGGGGGAGGGGGGGGGGTCGCAAGCTAGCCTCTTATGCTATGCGTTGCCCTAGGCCCCCTGCGTATATCCCTCTACAGGTGAGCAATTTGAGAAATTTCGAAAATATTTTATTATTATTATTTTTTGTTTTGTTTCGTTACTATTTTAACAATTTTATTTAAATTGCACGCTTGATATACGTTTTTATTTCGCTTAGGGGTTGTCCATGAAGGACGTTCGCAGAGACCGCAGGGGTTTGGGGGTCGTTCAACGGCGGACAAATGCGGACATTTGTGGGGGAGGGGGGGGGGGTCGCAAGCTAGCCTCTTATGCTATGCGTTGCCCTAGGCCCACTGCGTATATCCCTCTACAGGTGAGCAATTTGAGAAATTTCGAAAATATTTTTTTTGTTTTTTTTGACGCCATTGCTGCTGTTGGGTTCAGCCCCAAAGAGATGATCACGTCGCCAAAAATGACGTCACACCTAGCAACGGCACGTCCATCAATGAAACACACTGCGCTGATATCTTTTAGGACTGCAATATTTGTAAGAAATTTTATTTTTTTTAAATTATAGGTTTCCATAATTTTTAGGCGACAGCTGGCTTTATTAGGGATACTACAGAGTGTCAGAATGCCAATGACAATGATTAAAGGTGCACATCTCCTGCTGTCCCACGTTATTCACACCAGTAAGCATGATTTTTTTAAATCAACAACCTGCGCCCCCCCCCCCCCCACCCCCCACCTCAATGTTACATGGATGAACCCCTCTGATGCTGGTTTAGAAATTTAAATCTAATGACAATATGATGTTTATAATCGCTGTTATACTTTCCTGGAATTTCGAAATGTATATTTCCATATGCGCATGTGGGGGGTGGGGGGTGGGAGGGGGTCCGCAACCCAAGGGGGTAGGGGCTATGCCACATGCG